ACATGGTATCGATTTTTTATGGACTTATAGATGCTACTAAGTTGAATGAGATATCTCAAATGGAGCAAAGTTTTATCTGATAGTTCTGTAAATTCTATTGCTAAACTTGCAAAATGAACAAGAAATATGAGTATTATTATTGTATGATTGCTAGATTACAAAGTTTATCGGTTAAAAAATTTAGTATTTGTGTTAAGGTTTTTGCGTAGGAAGGTCATTTTGATCTCCATCTATCTTATATATTGGCTTGAAAGTTTAGATTTAACATCGAAATTTATTAATGCACACTAGACTCTTTTGATTTATTCGTTTTATTTCTTTCCATGTCTTTCCGCAAATTGTATAGTTCGATATGTATTTATATTTATTAAATTTCAAATAAACCCATTTTGATATGCAAAATTTCAGACAATTTGTACAGAACGAGATCTACTTTGCGGTTTAATAGGCTTCACGAAAATATTCTTACCTTCACTTGTACTTCTTATAAAAGTTCTAAGGAAAGTGCCCATTTTAACCAAACTCTAATTTATGTAATTTTTTTTCGCTATGATCTTAAACAGTCTTTCCCTCAAACGGCCAAGAACTCGCAACCGCCTTTATAAAACATGGATTACCAATCGGACCCTATAACTAAAAGAATTATTTACATCTTAGATAGAAAACAAAATAAGTGATCATAACGATGTAAAACGCTTTACGGTAATTTACAAACCGATGTACCTCTAATCCATTCCACTCATTGACTTAATCATTCAACACATAAATACAAAACCATAAACAACCATTATTACACATCTCTTTCTTAGTCTTTCTTCCATTTCCTCAATCTACTCAAGATGCACACCAAGACCGACTCGGAGGTGACCAGCCTTGCGGCTTCATCGCCGACTAGATCTCCTCGTCGTCCGGCGTATTACGTACAGTCTCCGTCACGTGATTCACACGATGGAGAGAAGACCGCAACATCTTTCCACTCGAGCCCTATGGGATCTCCACCACACTCCCACTCTTCCTCGAGCCGCTTCTCCAAGATCAACGGCTCTAAGCGCAAGCCACAGAAGCAATGCGCCATGATCGAAGAGGAAGGTTTGCTCGATGACGGTGACAGACAACAAGGCTTACCTCGTCGATGCTATGTCTTAGCTTTCATTGTGGGAT